AAAAAAAACAAACAGAAATCGCTGCCCCGGTGGAGCTGAGCTGCCATTCTAGTGAGAGAGACAAATGATAAACAAAAACAAAATACATGGAGCATGGCAGATTCATGCTATGGAGAAAATAAAGCCAGGAAGGGAGATGGGGTCGGTAGCCAGGAAAGGCCTCACTTTAGATATGAGACCTGAGCTGCTGAGAGCACAGGCCACATGGATATTTGGAGAAAGAACACTCCAGGCAGAGGGAACCACAAGTGCAGGGGTGCAGAGGTGGGAGTGTGGCTGACAAGCATGAGGAGCAGCAGGGAGGCCACTGTGGCTGCAGGGAAAAGGGAGAGGGGCAAGGGGCAGGGGACGAGGTGTAGGCAGGGGGCCTCGTGGCCGCGAGGTATATCCAGGGCCAGAGGCAGTTCCCACACGTCCAGACCTAAGGCCCCCAGGCAAGCCCCGCTCAGAGGCCCACGATGAACAGCAGACGTGGGGGAACCGGGAGGAACGCCCTCTGTCTCCTCCCACAAGCCGATGGACGGGCAAGGCCCGGCATCCTGCCAGCCAAGGATGCCACAAGACTGTCTCAAATCCCGCTCCCCTCCCAGCATCCCAGTCGAGAACAATCCCAGCCCATCTCTCCGGAGCGGAGCAACCACGTGGGCAGACATGGTGGCAGCAGGCTCGGCGTGTCCCTACCTGCTTCCACCCTGCCCATCACGCCCAGGTCTGTCTGTCTGTCTGTCTGCCGGTCTCACCCTCACAGGTAATCACAGCACCCTACCCTGGCTTGGCACATGACAGGACACCATCTAATCCCTCGGGCCTGCTGGGCGGGGCTGAGGAGCCCACGTGCCCACTGCGGAGGGATGGCACTCGCCCAGGTCACGGGGCAGAGCCAGGTCTGGGCCGTGCAGGCTCCCCTAGGGCAGAGTCACCCATGCAGCATGGGCTGAGGACACACCGGTCACGAGAGTCTTGGGAACCATCGGGTCAATCCCCTTACCATATGGAGGAGGAGACGGGGGAGGGGGAAGGGCTCTCAGCCCGGGCCTGCCAAAGCCTGAGCAATCCCCTTTTCCACCCGGTTCCCTCAGAAAACCCCAGCCAGGCAGACAAAGAAAGCGCTGTGGGGTGGGGAGTTCGCGGGAGGGAGCGTGGCCCCGGGCCCGGAAGTGGGGTGCGCCCGGGAAATGAAGCGAGGGGTGTGTCTGGGCCAAGATGGCACAGCGCGAGCCCAGGGGCTCCGCAGACAGCAGAGAGGGGGCGGGGCTGAGTGGGGCTGAATAAATTCAGTCCTGAACCAGGACTCAGCATCCGTGGAGGGGCCCTGGCCTTAGGAGTGGAGGTCTTACCTCGGAACTTCTTAGGGGGGTTGTCCAGGTCCCCGGCCGCCGGCTCCACCACACAGCGGTCATCCACCAGCCTGGGGGACAAGGCAGCCCGGTCAGCAGGAGAGAAGAAACCAACCTCCCCACAGCATCCCTCCCTCAAGGCAGAGGATTCCAGGGCCCCGTTGAGGCTCCCTGAGAAACTTCCTCCATCACTGACAAGGCCCCACCATCAAGTCATTCCCTCTCCTGGCACCACTTTGCAAAGGTCCCTTGGGGTGGGGTGGGAGAACCCCAGGAAGAACACAGACAGGTCCAGCCCACCCTAACCCTTTGGCCAGCTGGAGCTGTCCTGTGGGGACTCTGCTGCTAGTCTGGGCTATCACACACTGCACACATAATTCCTGTCACAGCCCTGACAAAAAGGGCAATGGACAATGTGGGGACTGAGAGAGACACAGAGAGGGAGGAGGGAGAGTTAGAGCAACGGAGGGAGAGAGACAGAGACAGGCAGAGAGACAGAGTCAGAAAGGTAGAAAGGATGAGAGACAGAAGCATCGAGAGACTAGAGACAGATGAGAGAAGCTTCCGAGACACTAGACTTGGGGCATGAGTCTTTGGGTCTCAAAGGCAGGATGGTGAGCCTCATGCCTTCCCAATCTCCGTCGGATCCCGTTCCATATTCTCCTCTTTGGCCCAACTGGGGTTAATCCTGCATCTCTGGAGGGCATCCACCACCCATCCACCCATTCTTACATTTAAAATTCTTCAACACCACCCCGACCTCTAGCGTAAAGTGATGATCACCCACCATCCAAAGGCCAACTCCTTCTCAGCACTTCACACCTGTTGCCCCTGAATTCTCACCAACTTCCCAGCAG